AACCGACACAAATTTTAAAAAATTTCTTATAAATGAAATTTAAAATAATACTAAACAAAAAATATATATATTTTAATTAAATGATAAGGATTGAAGAGATAACTAGATATTTGTCCATCAAATCAACATGCTTGTTTCTTTTTAAAGACAAACCAACCAACTGGGATAAAAAATGGATTTGAGCCCGATGAGCCTTTAAATCTAAAATGGTCAAAGTCAACTGTTCCTCTTAATTCCTAAGCAAATCATGTACGCGGGCCCAATGATAGTTATCAAAAGGGCCTTAAAATCCAGTAAAAAAGTCAAAAGTCAACTCTCTTTGCTTAGTTCCTAAGATAAGCTAAGCCAGTTCTACGATGGCAAAAGCCGCGTACGGTGATATCCCCACCTAACTAAAAAAATGTGGTGTACATATAATATTTATATAAAATCAAAATAGTTTTTACATAATTTTAAAATATATATTATTTTTAATCATTAATATTTAATCTATTGATCGACTAATTTAAATCACTAATATATAATTTAATAAGAATTTAAGAATATTTAAATTAAATTTTGTAGTTCAATTAATAATAAATTAATATTTTGAACCAGAATATTAATTTTTAAAATATAAGGTTAATATACATTTTTAATAGTAAAAAATAAAAATAAAGTTATTCATGCATTAAAAATATTTTTTAATAAACTTTTATCAAGTATACAAACTATTTTGTGGGTTTGAATTAAAAAAAAAGAACCCATAAATTCTATAAAAAATAACGCTTTCAAGTACTAGCAAACAGTTAATAATAAACTTTAACGTTTTTATTTCACTAAATTTTTCATTTTAAAACATAAATTTCTACCAGATATTTTAGGGTCATAAGACTCACTTCTAAAAAAAAATTCCTCCTTAAATCGCCGTCCTTGTTGGTCCAAAACCGTAGAATCGCTCGAATCAATCAAAGCAAAAGCATATTCTCTTCATCTTCAAGTTTTGTTTACAGTTTCACATTCCGGCGATGGATCTCCGTCAATTGATCAGAAATCAAACCGACGCCGCTTTCAGCCTGACGAAGCACGTTCTCCAAACTGAAGCCAAGGGCTCGAACCTGGTGTTCTCGCCGCTTTCGATCCACGTTGTGCTTAGCATGATTGCGGCTGGCAGTAAGGCTTCCACCCTCGACCAGCTCCTCTCTTTCCTCAAGTCAGAATCCAGTGACCAACTAAACTCCTTCTCCTCCGAGCTCGTTTCCGTTGTCTCCGCCGACGGAAGCCCCGCAGGTGGGCCCCGCTTGGCATTTGCCAACGGTGTTTGGCTCGACAAGTCTCTCCCTCTCAGGTCTTCTTTCAAACAGGTTGTGGATAATGTGTACAAGGCTGCTTCTAATCTAGTCGATTTCCAAAACAAGGTAATTTATTTCCTTTTATATTATACTTACTTGTTGAATGATAGGAATGGTGTCGGAATGAATTAAATACTTAATAGCTTTTGTTTCTGCCTGATGCGTTTTTTAACAATTGCTTCTGTAATTTTTTTAATTTTTGAGGGGTGATAAAAGCAATAAATCGTTATTTCCAATACATGTAGGGTATAGGTTCCGTCAGTCTAGTTTAAATTTTACAATTTTGATACACATGCATACAAAATGGACCAAGATTCTGCAATATAGATTCATGTGCCATTTATGTTAGCGGACAAAATAGTCTCTTGATGCTGAATGTTAAAACTCGACCCCCAGAAGTATCCTTGTAGGTTTGATCGTAACCACTCACAATTAGGTTCACAGTTTAAGAGACAAATTCAAACTTTGGATGACAAAAATTAAATTTTGGGACCAAGGACCACAAATAGACTATTTGGCAGTACAATCTTTATTCAACCTTTCAATGAAGTCTCTACACCAAATTCGTCTAGAACATAACATGCAGGGAAAGACAACAGTGCACTTGGATATATCTCAAACATCATGGTATTAGTAAGTTGGAATATTGATTGCTAGGTTGGTTTTCTGGCTTCAGTAGAGTAGTTATATTCACATATATATTGTATTTATGTTAATAATGTGTCAGATTATGGTCATTTTTCCTTTGTTACCATCAAACTTTTAGTAACAGCAAGCTTCAAGGAATCTGCAATTTAATCAGATTTTTAAATTGAGACATTCCCACTAGTAGCATGTTTTAGCATATGGTGAAGCTCCCGTGCTTAGTGCTAACTAAAGAAATGGTGAACTTACTCAAGTCATCTGAGCTATTGACTTCACATGTAGTGGTTATTTAAAAAGACATCTAACAACTATCCAAAGCACTCTTTGTGCACAAATTACAATCACCGTTGTGGATGAGAAGTTAAGATCAAACATGGCCTTCCTTGGGTTTTGTACTTAGATCTTTGGCCACATTTACTGCAAGATTTGCAGCATATATCACCATCTATTTTACCTCCAATTTATCTTCCATAGGTCTATGACTTTTGGAAGCAAGTGAGTTCTCCGTTGATCATTTGTACTCTTGTACATTTCCAGGGGATACAAAATCAAGGGCTACTTTAATGCATGACGGTCTGTTTGCTGCTTGACGTTGCCTCATTCAACTGAAACTTAATAAACTAATGATAATCAAGTACAAACTAGATATTGAAAGGAAGTGTATGAATATTTCCAGTACCATTAGATAATAACGCATAAATTAAATGATATCTTTATACTTTATGGATTATATTCACATCACCTGCTTGCCATTTTTGTTTTAACTTTCATGTTGTTGGTCTATTTGTTTGAAGGCTGTTCAAGTGGCTGGTGAAGTGAATTTGTGGGCTGAGAAGAAGACTAGCGGTCTTATTAAAGAAGTTCTTCCTCCAGGGTCAGTTGATGCTTCAACAAGGTTTATATTTGCTAATGCACTCTATTTCAAAGGAGCTTGGAATGAAGCATTCGATGCATCAAAAACAAAAGACTATGACTTCCACCTTGTAAATGGCAACTCTGTTAAGGTGCCTTTTATGACTAGCAAAAAGAAGCAAATTGTCAGTGCCTATGACGGTTTCAAAGTCCTAGGGATTCCATATAAACAGGGTGAAGATAAGCGTCGTTTCTCCATGTATTTTTTTCTCCCAGATGCAAAAGATGGTCTGCCAGCTTTAGTAGATAAAGTGAATTCTGGATCTGGCTTCTTAGAACACCACCTTCCTTCTCAACCAACTGAAGTGGGTGAATTCAGGATCCCAAGATTCAAGATTTCATTTGGACTTGAAGCTTCTGCAGTTCTGAGAAGATTAGGGCTTGAATTGCCTTTCTCGGGTAAAGGAGGTTTGTCGGAGATGGTTGATTCTCCTGAGGGTCAGAACCTGTATGTTTCAAACATATTCCACAAGTCTTTTATAGAAGTTAACGAAGAAGGGACAGAAGCTGCTGCTGCTACTTCGGCCGTCATAAAACTCAGGTCTCTGTTTATTCCAGATCCAATAGACTTTGTGGCTGACCATCCTTTCCTTTTTCTGATCAGGGAAGATGTGACTGGAGTTGTTCTCTTCATTGGGAATGTCCTCAATCCTCTTGAAAACTAATAAATCAGACATGTTACTGAAATGGTGTGTGTTTTGACCAATGTAAAATTATGCTTTGTTGTTGGGTTTATTTTTGTACTTTTTCTTGGTTGTTCAACCTATGTTTAACTACACTACTATATGTAATGAGTCACATAGGAAACAAATAACGTCTCTTGTTTTTTGACATGTTAAGTACTTGAATCTTTTGTACTACTAATGTCATAGAGTTGGATCAAAGTGATAAAGGCGGTGAAGAATGTATTGCTTGCTTATTTTTATATAACTATCGGCATTTGATCCATTAACCATGTATTGATTACTCATTAGATTGTGATGATTCAATTGCAGAGCATTTTAAAATGATTAGAAATCGAAATCCAATTTCTTGGGAACTCAACTTTCATCTAGAACAGTGCAAATGTGCAATTTATGAATTTGGATTCGAAAGTTGAAGATTTATGAAGCTTTTAAATTTCTCGAAGGTTAGCACTTTGTGTTGCCCTTTCTATGGTGAAGGATGTTATTTGGCAATGACAGACATGGTTAATTAGATAAGTGACTGATAGACAATGAACCTAGAGGCCGGTTGACAAAATCTGGCTACTGTTATAACCTAGAGGTTGGTTGACAGAATCTGGCTACTGTTATAACCTAGAGGTTGGTTGACAGAAGCTGGCTACTATTATCGCCATATGAATTCTATTTCTATAGTTGGTCACACTGTTCAACTCTCTTTGCTATTACTTCATTTTCCTTGAAAAACATTGTCGTATCAACTATTACAATCAGATTCAATTATTACAACCATATATCAATTAACATCAGCTGTCAAATGAACAAATCAAAATAAATTTAGATGATTTCAATATAAACATCAACCCCAAATTTGAAACGAAGGTATGCTCATCACACCATGTCCACTCCTTTTTCTGGAGAGTTTTAATAGTATTAGCCCCTCCTTTCCCTATAGTAGATCCATGAAAGAATCCTAGTCATCTTGAATCTTTCTTAGTTATTGATAACTCACATCTTACCAGACACAATTGTTTGAACTTGAGATCTTTAGAGAGAACAACACTACATTTTATCGTTGAGATCATTAATAAGTTCAATAGTTTATTTTTATTTTTAAATTAAATTGAATTAATTAAATTAGTGTAATTTTATTTTTAATACTTTTAGGTTTAATTACTTTGAAAATTAGATTATTCGTTATTAAAGTCTTATCTTGGTTTCATCGTCAGTAACATAAATATTATTTCTTTCACCTTTTAGAATTTGTAGCACATGTTTCATATCTTCGAGCTTATTAAAAAATATGCATGAATTCCTCAATTTTTTTTAAAAAAAAAGTGTTTTAAGCTGAATTACATAAACTTAAAATTGTCATCAAATTAACTCTGATATGATTTATAGTTTTAACCGAAAGGGGAAAATATCCATAGAAATCGAAAAATTGCTGATAATGTCGGTATGTATTCTTTCTAAAAATGGTTAGAAACCTTTAAAGTATAATTATAAATTTTAAAACTCAAGATACGATTAAACTAGAATTAAACATGAAATTCATCAGGCTAGGAATATCTTATTTAATAATTTTGAATTTTGCACGAATCAAATTACCTCAAATGGTAAAGAGATAGTTGTTATCTTTAGAAGTTCATATTCAAACACCAAATATTGTAAGAATATTTAAACTTTCATTGTCAAATGATTATATATCTTTAAAACATATATTATTTTGTAATTATCTTATATTATTACAAAAATAATTTTGGGTTTCAAGATTGAAGTAAACCCAATTAGTAGCATGAACGGGTGATCATTGAGTGAGAATAAAATTGAGTTGAATGACATTCCATTTTCATGTTGTGCAAGAAAGTAAACAATGGTATTAATATTATGATTCGAGGGATAAAGAAACTTAGCTGATTTCAGTGGGTTGGGATCTGCTATTTGATTCCATATCAATGGATTATAAAGCTTTTGATTGATGACATTTAACCTTTGTTTTTTTAGGGGGAAAAAACCAAAGAACATCTAACTTACGATTTGGATTAGATTAGAGTAGATGTAGCCATCTTTAACAATTTCAAGGTTTTCGTTAGATTCTTTAAGAACTGGACGACTCTGTATCCTTTGTTCTGATTCTCTTTTGTTTTCATCTGCTCATATTATTTTGTACCTTTTAATACCCTTTTCACCTTATTTAGGACGAATATGCTGTTTGTTTTTAGTCGCTGAATAATTGGCCTGGGTAACCACTTTTGATTTCATGAAAGTGAAACTTTTTTTAGGATGGAAATCTAGAATACTTAGCATCTAATCTCAGAGAATCAATTTGTTTAACAGCTCAAGCTCTTTTACTGGCTTTCCAACACTACATCGTGAATCTCGGAACTACGGTCTTAATTGCAAGTAATATCGTGCCTCGGATGGGTGGGGATCATGTATGTTTTGTGACCAGCTTTGATAGTCTCAGTATAATAATTTCTTTTTTATGAATATGATGATTTCTTAAATCTCAAATTCTGGATCCTCTGTTTTCATGAACAGGGTGATAAAGCCCGAGTTATTCAAGTGTTGCTGTTTATGTCTGGCATTAATACTCTGCTTCAAACTCTTGTTGGCTCAAGGCTTCCCACAGTGATGGGTGCATCTTTTGCATACACCTTACCATTACTTTCGATCATCAATGATTACAATGACGAAGCCTTTGCAACTCCGCATGATGTATGTAAACTTTAGTAAGATATAAGCAAAAGTAATGGAAAGGAACTTGTGAATTATAGTCTTTTGTGCTGTAATTAAGTTGCGTTATTCTTAAATCAATAGATAAATTTAATATAAAATTTGTCTTTAGGTTTTATAAGTTACAGATTTCTATGTGCTAAGGTCATGGATATTGTGAATAGTCCCGATTCCTGAATTGAACACTGTAACTCAAATGAATGCTTCTTGGTTTCATGCCTGCTATGCAGGAGACATTCTTTTGCCTCACTGACTTGATCTTAATTATGTTTTCTCTAGTTTCCTTTTGAGAAATGGTTTGAGTTTGCGTCTACTATTTTTCCCGTTCTGATTACACCTCCCAAATCACAATGCTATTTTATAGGTTATAAGCTACATCATTCTTGGCGTTCAGGGGTAGTATATATCTGGTGGACTTTCTCAATAGATTTTCTCATTGTTATCTTCCTATTCTCTCTTTCACATTCTTAGCTTATGACCATATTGCTTAATGATTACGATCCGGATCTTGCTTGCAGCGGTTTATTCATAGTATGAGAACCATTCAAGGATCAATGATAGTTTCTTCCTTTGTCAACATCATCCTAGGGTATGGACGGGCATGGGGGGAACTGACAAGGTAACGGTGAATTCTGTTTTGACTATCAGTTTATACAAACTATTTTACTTTTGGCTTACAACTGATTACCTGCTTCTCAATTATGTTTGAGATCTTTTGATCAGCAAACTATTAAGTTTTGACTGCTAACTTTGTACGCATTTTCTCTTCATCCTCCATTTCTCTAAACTATTTAGTCCCATTGTCGTGGCGCCAGTGGTTTGTCACGTTGGTCTTGGTCTGTTTGCAAGAGGCTTCCCATTGTTAATTCTCTATGAATGCTTTTGTGCTTGATCAATACTAATAATATGCTGATTTAATCTGCTCCTTAATGCAATTAAATTATGATACAGCTAGGTAACCGTGTGGAAATTGGCCTGCCTATGCTCATTCTAGTAGTTATTTCCCAAAAGGTATATAAGCTATACTGAGTGCAGTCTTATGCTGGCATGCTTCTTTATTAACTTGACAAGGACTACTTGTTTGCTACAGTCGCTGAAGCGCATCCATTCAAGAGCCCATTTCATACTTGAGAGGTTTGATTTGCTTTTCTGCATCCGAATTATCTGGGCTTTTGCTGCTATCCTCACTGTGTTGGGTCCTTACAACAATGTTAAGACTGCCACTAAACAAAGTTGTCGCACAGATCGATCGTACCTGATGTCTTCTGCTCCTTGGTATGCTCCTGATGTGCCGCCCTGCTTGTTGTATTCTCTCCGTTTTGTGACATTATTTTATGTCACTTCTTCTAGGATCAAAATCCCATACCCATTTCAGTGGGGTACGCCAATATTCAGGGCTAGCCATGTGATTGGAATGATAGGTGCTGCACTTGTTTCATCTGCTGAGGTTTAGTCTAAATCTTAAATGACTTCAAGTCTATTTGGTATTTTTATTTTGTAAGGCTGCACTTATTTTATTTTTCTGCTGAGGTTCAGTCACTTATCTTTCTATGACTTTCAATGAAGTCAACTGGAACATTTTTTGCAGCAGCTTGGCTTTCTGGGGCCACAGCCCCTCCGGCACATGTACTCAGCAGAAGTATTGGCTTACAGGTCATTTCCTAGATTCTTGTGAATTGGTTTCTGAAACTTGTTCGTCCATGATTTCCCTGAAAATAATAAAACTACAGTCCTGAACCACATTATAAGATTGTCATTGGTGAAGATAACTTAGTCATCTTGCTTCTAAATGCCAGGGCATTGGTATGCTGCTTGAAGGGCTTTTCGGTTCTCTTGTTGGTACTACTGCATCCTTGTACGGTAGTCTTGTTTTTAAAGAGAAGTTCCATTCTATATACAATAGTCATGAACCGTAATATCCATAACAGATAGCACTATACTTTAGAAACTTGTTTCAGCGTCTGATCAAATTGATGTTGCAGTGAGAATGTTGGCCTTCTCGGGCTTACGCATATAGGAAGCAGAAGGGTTGTGCAAATTTCGACTGCTTTCATGATATTTTTCTCCATATTTGTTTTTTTTTTTTCATTAATTGCATTGAAAATTTTACCCTATATTTATCATGCTCAATTGTTCATATTTGATTATGTTACCTTGCATTGTTTCGGGGAAATTTGGTTCATTTTTTGCCTCCATTCCATTGCCAATATTTGCTGCTATATACTGCATTTTATTGGGCATTGTTGGTGAGTGACTCTGTACTCTGTTGCCGTGATAGTTTCTGTTTCCGATATCCTATTCTTCCTTTAACTTGGAATTTTCGTCCGTTTCTTCCATCAGGTTGCATCTGCTTCTGGGATCACATTCATACAGTTTGCAAACATTAATTCCATCAGAAACATCTATGTTTTGGGTGTGTCTCTGTTCCTCAGGCTGTCAATTCCTCAATACATTGCAATGAACACAGCTTACGACGGACATGGACCAGTTAGAACGAATGCGATATGAGTATGTAATGTACTGTGCTTGCTGCATTGTCCGTATTGCTCGTCTCTGTCTCTGTCTAATATGCAAAGCCAATTGTAATGCATGCAGTTTAATGATATATTGAATACAATCTTCTCATCACCGGCAACTGTGGTGATCGTGGTTGGGACCATACTTAACACGCTCGAAGCGATAGAGGAGTTCCATGGTGGAAACCAATCCAGCACAGCAAAGGCGACTTTAGAACCGAGGAGTTCTACAGCTATCTCCTCAGACTAAATGGCGCAAGTCATGTTTATATGCTTGGATCATTTACGAAACTGTCACTTTTGATCGATGCGTGGAATTTAATCTTCTACCTGCCTTAGTTATTTCAGTACAAATGAAAATGAATGTGGATTCACTTGGCTTTGTTTACTGACGTCCACTTGCTATAGTTTACCAAAAAGGAGTGTTTCTTTTTACATGAAGTAAGCAATTCTTTTGATGTTTTTCTAAACGTGGAGTGGTGGCAACGATTAGAACTTCTAGAACGGCCGTGCTGATCAAACAAGACTTCCATTAAATAATTCACAAGTTAGGCCAAAATGATTTAAAAACAACCAAGTGATGAAATCATCGAGTGGATCCACGCGTCCTAGAAAGCTACTGACTGAGAGAGCAAGCCAGTCGTCACCTTACAGAATCTTATTTGTGGGATCCACGCGTTTCTTATCTCTTCACTCGTTTCTCCAGCCGCCAGTCATTATCTCAGACAAACTGGGGACCCATCCACGGCGTTACTTTTTCTTTTTCTTTTTTGGCCTGGACTTGACTGAAATATATTCATGGCTAAAATGTCGAGTGAACTATCTCACATCAAGAGGACAGAAGCGAATAATAGAAAGATTTGATTTTATTAAAATTATGCACATTAGGGGTACATATGATATGCACCAGTTGTTACTTTCAGCCATCAAGCCAGTCCAGACTGTACCATTTCTCTGCAACTTGAACATAAAGGTCTGGCATGGCTTTCTCCAGGTATCTCCACTGCCAAGAAACTTCATCGTCACAGATAACTCGCCGCAGCGACTTCAAGTTTGATAAGGCGGTTTGTGTTGGTAGTCTCATAATCTGTGAGCATTCCCTCATGTCCATCTTTTCCAGGCTGCCTAATTTACCGATTTCCCTAGGTAGACACCTCAAGTTAACGCACTGTGAAATATCAAGGTATTTTAACCCATTAAGCTCGCCAATGCTGGGAGGGAGCATCTTTAGCTCCGGACAAGCGTACAACCTAAGTATCTGTAGTTTCTTGAGCATACCCAAATTGGAAGGCATTTCGCATATTCGGTGGCAGTTGGTTATGCTCAGGCTCTGGAGTGAATTCACCTCACAAATGTTCCCCGGCAACTTAACTAAGTCATCGCAATGATCCATTATGAGTTCCGATAAATGAGGGAAGATCAGGGACAGGACCAGCACTGATGGATTAAAGCTGTTATTAACCTTGCAAAGAACCATAGATAGTTTCTGCAAGTTCTTCAGGGGAACAGTGGGGTTGGTAAATTGAGGAACCCATACTTTTTCAAGCCATAGGCTCCTTAAATTTGCCAGATTGGTGAAGACTGTAAAATTATGAAGTATCGCCTGTGTTGTACCATAGTTGATGACAATGAGTGCCCTAAGCTTGGGCATGTCGTCTATGAAAGGAGGCAAGAAGTATTCATCGGAGGAAAAATTCAGTATGAGTACTTCAGCCTTGGGGAACTCCATGCGAAACCAGTCCATTTCCCTCATTTCTCCTGTCAAGTGATTAAATTTCAAATTTAGTGAGAAAAAAGACAGTAGAACAACATGTTTTCCAATAGAAATATCATGCAAGCCATGGTTTTAGGTGAAGGCAACTACACAATCTTATTTGATGCAAAGCAACAAAGAACAAGTCTAGCATGATACCTGTATGAACTGAAACTATCTGAGCATTGAACAGTTGATCTGTGTTCCTTTCCCACTCTCTCGGGAGTTCAGCATCTCTTCTGGGCATAAGCAACCGCTTCCGCTCATTCACTTCCCCTCGATTGCTTAGATGAAGAGCAAGGTCTCTCAGCACATCGTGTTGTGTAACACAAATTTCATAAAAACTACTGTATGAATCCCCAACCCTGCACAATTCAATCCAAAAAACAAAAATCAGGTATGTCAACTGCTAACTAAAACCAACCCAAGTTAGTAGCTTCAGAAACAAAGAAATTTCAAGAAACATACCGTGCGTCTTTCACCAGGGTGAGAAGGTTCTTATCGGCAAGCTCAACAAGAATGGCAAAAGCTTCCTCCTCATCAATGTCATGTATCTCAACCCACATATTAATGAGAACATCGAGGGGGATTTTCTTATCTTCTGGAAATGATCCCAAATCCAAGAAACATTCCTTAACCTTCTTGTTCAAATATTCCACGCTTATTGCCATCCGCTCCAGTAGCTTGTTTTCGTGGGACTCGCATATCGGTTCTCCTCGTAATAACCTTTTCTTAGCACTAGCCCAATACATTTCAGGTTGGTCTCGCAGTGAAGCTCCGATTACTTTAAGTGCCAGAGGAAGTCCTTTACATTCATTAACAATCTATCAAATCCAGAATTAATTAACAATCATTAGCGAAGAAGAAAGATAATTAATCCTTGAAGTTAATAGGTTACCTGCTTGACCAAAGTCTCATTGGCAGTAGGGGGGATGGATGTCTGCCCGAAAGCAGAGTGACAAAACAGGGATATCGATTCATCTTCCCTCAACAGCTCTACTTTATAAACTTCATCGACAACATTTGCTGGGAACTTAAATCTTGAAACGACCAAAGTTTTATATGTTGGGATCCTAAATATAAGTTGTTCAAGCACTGAAAGGGACCAGACATCGTCCAAAACAACCAGAGTTCGCGGTCCACTTCCCCACTCACACTGTACGTTTCCTTGTGGAACAAACATGTTACTGGTGTAACCCATGGCCTCGTTTCCTGTAAGAAATCCCCATATTCTTGCTCTTAACTGTTGCACATCCGGTGATTGTGATACGGTTAAAAACAAAATTCTGTCGTTGAAGTGACCTTAAAAAACATGAAAACAGAAGCAATTAGTTCTACCACAATCGGCCATTACCAACAAAAAACTTTATTTGATCAATTACATACATCAAGGAAAAACTTACTTCGAACTTGATTATCTTTACAAATTTCATTGGCCAACGTAGTTTTCCCTGATCCTCCAATACCGCAAATTCCAACAACGTTTAAATCCTCTTTTCCAATTATCATCTTTTTCACCTTACTTTTCCCTAAATCCAAGCCAACTCCACCGATAATTCCCAAACTAGCCTCCTCTTCAACTTCCATTCTCTTAACCGCTTCTTCCACCCACCCTCCCGCTCCGATCTTCATCGAATTGAGCCTCTGCTCCAACCGACCTTCCAACCGGTCGAACCGCTCCATCGTTTCGAACCGCATGTGGTGAACGTCGGCCAACAAGTGAGCCTGCATCGGTCCGCTAACGAACCTCGAAACCTGTTTCTCTAACTTCTCCATCTTCCTGGCCAGCTGGAGGTTCTTGTAGACGTTCCAACGGCCGGAAGCCAGGACTCTGCGGGCCAATTCGAGGCCCCCACGCAGAGTCTCGGAGAAACGGTCGAGCTGAGATTGACGGATGGCGGAGAGCTCGACGCCGGAGTACTTGATTTCATTGATGATGGGAAGGAGTTCCTCGATGCTTGTGATGAGATTGTCCGCACTGGATTTGCAGAGGCAGGACTTGCGTGAGATGGAGATTAATTGTTTTAGAAGTTCCGCCGCTATTTCTCCGGCGAAAAAGTCGTTAAACGCCATCGATATTACTTGGATCAACTTATAACCAGCGAGAAACTTTTCGTGAGATGGAGTGAGTGAGTGAGTGACTCGGTTACATATATCCTAAATGGCGGGCGCCAATTTAACTGCTCTGATCGTCGCTCGACTGCTGACTTTTGTGCTTTTTTTTCTCTCTCACGAATTCTTTAGAGATGGAGTTTGTATTAAGAAAAGAAAAAAAGGAATATTTTTAAAAGGAAAATGCAAAAGCCTTTTATTTATTTTAAATTTGCTTTCCAAAAAAGAAGCATCCTTTCTCATTTTGGTAAAAAAATTGCATTTCTTATTGTTTAATCATTATTAGCAGTTTTGTCATCAAACATAGACTATAAAAATATATGAAATTAGTTTATAATAAAATTAGCTACTTCGTTAGATAATCTAAATCTTATTCTGAAACGGAAACTTGTTTTTTTATTGGAAGCAAATGCTCAAGTGAGATGCCACTTGTCGCTTATTCACTATCCCCAAGTTATATGCTAAACCAAAATAAACTTCAATATTTTACCTTTTAACAAGACATCGCAATATACTGTTTTCTTTTTTACTCATTTGTCCAAATTAGCATTTCCTAAATGCATCTATCATTATAATAATTTTAGGTTACAATTCCTTTGACAATTCCACGATGTTTCAACTTTATTTGCCCATTAACAAATAATCCCATATTTAATGTTAATTTATTCTTACAATATTTAAAGTGTTTTATGGTCCTAATGATGTCAGCTTAAAAAGACGTAATCCAAAATTATAATATATACATAAAATAATAAAAGTATTTCAACTTTTGATTAAAAAAAATCACATTTGATTATTTATTTTTCTTAATAAATTTAAAAATGTTATATATTATTAATGATATTTAACCTTTGTTTTCTCATGTTTTTTTAGGTAATGTGATCTAGACTGATTAGGAGCATTCCAATTTCTTTTCTTAGAGTTCTCTCTTCACCTCTCCTTTAGGTCTTCTAATTAGAATTGAGATTAGATTTAAAATTTATAAAAAAAATATAAATTATAATTGGATAGCTTACATGATTTAAAGGGTCATACTCTCAAATTTTTATTAACAGACATGAAAACATAAAATTAGATATATTTAAATATTTAATATTTTTATTTACTTTTGGTAAGTAATTTAGATAATTTAAATATTATATAAAATAATCTACTTAATAAAAGTAACCATATTATTAGAAAAGCGCAAAGAAAAAAGAAATTACGTCATGTTATTATTATTTTATTTTAATTCTGTCCTTTTATTAAGACAGAGATGAAATGAATGGTCCGAAGGTGGGGACATTACACTGGCAAGTGTCGACCGTCATTGGCGTTGACGATCGAAATGACCGTCCTGCCCTCAAATCATTATTCAATTTTGGAAGAGAAAACTTGTTCCGTGCCGGTGAACATCAACGTACGTCCACTTTGGATTTTTGTTTAAAATAATAATTAGCTGATTAGCGGAGTAAATTAGATGATATTGAAAATAAAACATACATCGGCTATGGAATGTGGGGGAAGGCTGCCGTGGAAAATATTGCCTAATCTAGGGGAGGAAATTGGTACTAAAAATCTTCCCATAGAGAATCATTGGTTCCTTGAGTCCACCAAAACTTAGCAACAGCAGAATCTAGTTCTTTTTTTAGGGAATTTAAAACATGACATCTGATACATGGGAGTAGCACTGGCCTCACAGGCTTAATGAGGACTTATTTGCCTCCTGGAGACAAAGTCGATCCCTTCCAGCTTTCTAACCTAACCAACATTCTATTTTTAAGATTCTCCAAAGCTGCTGAATTGGTAACGCCACATAAGTATACACCAGGATTATTAGCAGCAGGGATTCCCATCAACCGTGATAGAGTCTTTTTACCTTAACTGATGCATTCTGGCTAAAAATCAAACTAGATTTCTCCAACATTATTCCAGCAAAGCATCCAACAACAATCCTTGAAAATTTTCCCTCTTACACTCGATGAAAAATAGGTGGAAAATAACAGTGCAATTCCTACCGATTCTAATCTCTACTACGGTGAAATTTTCTACAAGGCTCACCATTGACCACTTGAGTGTAGGAAACTGGGTTTTTTTTTTTGCCCAATAGGCTAGTCGGGTTTTTTATTTAGGGTTTTAGGATACCCAATTTTTATTTTGGGAAATACGATAAATGCTACAGTATAGTTGGAACTCGTTGGATATTATCTTTTAATGGACCCCTATGAGTGGGCCCCACATAAACTATTATTTTAATATCATTAATAAGACTCGTCACTTCGAAGCGATGAATTCATTAAAAAATAATTTAAGTTTAAAATAAAAAAATCATTCAAATTAAAAAAAAACTAATTGTTTTGTGGCCGTTAGTCAACGGGCAGCTGCAAAGGTCACTTGGGCAAAACGTAACTTGAAACTCGTCACCTCGAGGTGACTAGTTCTGTCGGATTTTTGAACCCCTGGCAATTTATAGTCGTTGGGGCTAATGCTATAAATAAGGGTTTGAAGTTTTGATTTTTCATCAAACTCTAAATCTAAAAAATTTGTGAAAAATCATACCTTATGTGAAAATCCCGAAAAATGGCTTCCCAAGAAGAAAGTTTGAGGTTGGATAAAGTTCATATTTCGTTGATCGAACTCCGGCTAGAAGAAGAACGGAGTATTAGTAAGTGCGGGATGACATACGGAGATCTGCATCAGCGTATGTTGATATATCTTCAACAATCCGGTCTATTTCCAGCCATATTTGTACGTGGCTTCAAGTTGTACCCAACGTTGATTGAGGCTATGATCGAACATTGATGGCCGAAGACATACACGTTCCATTTCCCGAGTGGCGAAGCGACGATTACTTTGGAAGACGTCGCTTACCAACTCGGTGTCCTTATGAATGGAGTCCTTGTGGTGAGGCAGAACAATTACAACCCCACGATGTTGGTCTACCAAGTTTTGGGAAAAGTGCCACCATCCGAGGTTATCGAGGGCTATTGGGTACGAATAACATGGTTGGAGTTCGAATTTCAAGTGATGTCTGACTCTACCGAGGACGAGGTTATTTTTGCGTCTCTAGCATATCTTCTTCAACTGATCAGAGACGTATTATTATCGAATAAATATGATAATTTGGCACACATTCATTCAGTATATGCAAATTTTAAATGACTTCGCTGAGTGTTGCAATACCAATTGAAGCTCGATGATTTTAGCTTTTCTATATCAAGAGTTGTGCTAGGCTACAATTGTCCAACGGGGTCAAAAACCAATGTAGTAGGCTGTCTAATATTGCTACAATTCTGGGCTTGGTACCGGTTTCTATTTTTTACGCCAATTACCACAATCTTAGTCAAGTTTCCTTTGGCTGGAAGGTAATTTTTTATCTTTAATTTTTTAATTTTTTTTAAATTTGATTAATTTAATTACTTTTTTTATATGTTTTTATTTTTTAAGTATTTTAGATGGTGTAATGAAATAACCGAGACGAAGTTATCGAATGCCACTATAAAAGATATACGGATGAGGATCAACATCACCGGTCAATATGCGATATACATTTGTTCTTTTATTATTATTATTTTAAATTTTTTAACTTTATATATATTAACTTTGATATTTAATATTTACATTTTTATTTGCTTTCGTATGCTGACGACGAGATCTACCAATTATTGTCACTGTGATTTTTTAGGGGTCCGATTTATGGTGTGACTCGACGCCGTTATTACATTTTGCGATTGTTGAGTGGCATACCGCTGATAGAGTATCATGACAATTTGCGTCACATCAACTTATTCCTAAGCAAATCGTTGATATGTACGCGCTCCATAGAATTGATACGCGTGGAAAACATACCGAAAATTGTCTGATGAAGCACGCTTACTATATTGAGTTATGAAATCAGCGTCAACTATCAATCCCCACGTTACGAGATTACACCGTCGAATCTAGATTTCAACCATTCTCAAAGCAAATGGGAAATCATATCTTCGAAATTATGAAGCAACTATCTTTACAGATTCCAAAATCCATCCAATCCTGCATTTATCAAAGTCCAGTTTCAGCAACACAGCAGAAACTCCACTCGCCCTATCATTAGCCTTCATCATGTCACTTCAACTTTCTTCCCTTTCTTCCTACCTTCAGGTAAGGAAAAAGCTCTTGAGCAATAATAACATTTTCATGAAGCAGCCTATTGAGAACAAAAGCTGTTTGGTTGAAATGATCCCCCTAAGTTAAGGCCTAAGCCAATTGACCATTACCTTAGAAATAACCTTGTAGGATTAAGAATCTTGGGAATGAGTACAATTTCAGTAGCATGCATGAATCTCATCGACTGCTTGACATTAATTACACGATTAAAATTCCAATGAGTATGTAATAATTTAACTCTGATTTTGTCAGTTTTCAAAATTATATCCTACGTGTACTATACTTAAAAAGTTTAGTCTATTATATGTCAATCTTGTGTCTTTAACCCTAACTACTGCATGCTGCTGCTCGCGACTAGGTCCAAGCCCGTAGAAGGGCCAACATCAAGCCCCAGGGCTCATTTTGACTTGGCCATGGATGTTGAGTGCCTTCTGGTTGGGAAATGTTGCCCTTTCACTTAATGCAAACTAAATCATTCGGCTCAACAGCAGCACCCCAATAACATCTAACCTTACCTACCCATATATCCACACCCAATAAGAAACAACTGGAGAACCCAATTTTTGCTAAATATCTACAAGAAAGAAATCAATTTTTTTTCCAAATATGAATTAATGGTACAAATATATTCACGTTTGAGCTTTGTATCTTGTACATGTCTTACAAAAGTACGGCATATTGTAAGAATAATAAGTAAAGGAAACAAGAAACTACACATATGCAGTGTTGTACAATTCAATAATTACCATGATCCTAGTTAACCACAATACTATAGCTCTACTATTATCTCTATTTCGCCATAAGTAGCATTGTGGTTTCCAGTCTTTCATTGCAGCTATCCAGTAGTGAACCTCCAATGATATTACATGTCTTCTAGTTTGAGTCTTGTAGATTTATCCTACTCATCATACACCCATTCAGAAATACAGTTACGACAACTTACTTGGTCACCTGCACCTTGTGCTAATCTTGAATCAAGCAGTTCAAGTTGCTTTCTAATCCAAGGAGGATCATCGGGATTCAACCAGAGAGCTTCGCCAGTATCTTTGTGCTTAAAATCTGGCTGTGATGGGTTTTTTTTCCTATTGTCCCACCATTCGGACAGGCTGGTAAAAAATACTTGCCACAAGTAGAGTGGGCTATTATACCTCTCCATACCAGCTTCACCTGGATCTTTAGAAAAGAAAAGAAGGACAACATAATAAGCATGGAGCAAATGAAAAATCAAAAACCTCAAAGCCGATAACCATTGAAGATTGTTATTCTATACTAAGCAATGTTTTTAAGATCTTGGACTAAGTCCTGCAATTGCCCAAAATAAGACATTGAGACATCATTCCACCTAAGCAGTCCAAAAAGTACCATATAAATTCAGCTAAAAAGAAGCTTCAGATATGATTTCACAACAAACTGAGAAAATTGCAAAGGCGGAAAAACTTATAAAATATAAAAACATTTCTACCTTGTTCCGGTTCTAATTCCTCGCATTTTCGGGTGGTTGATCTTTGACCTTGTTGGGAAACAAAATTCAACTCTGTCACATTTACATCCAATAATGTATCAAATGAACATGCATGTAAATACATCCTTCATATTTGCATAATCAAGAAGGGTATAAATTCATACATTGAAACAACATCATCTTAACTCCATAAATGCATCAATCAGATTCCATAAGAAGCTCAGGAAACTCAAATAACTTTAACAAAATAAAACAAGGCTTGTTTTCTGAAGAACCTTGTAATATACTATGAGTTGCTTATCTACATTAGCCTGAGAGAAAGAACCCAAAAACCCTGAAACATACAAAAAAAATCCCCAGGCTTCACGTGCTCCATACAAATTCTCCCCATATCGTTCCACATTCTCAACCCTATCCTGTTTTAAACTCACAATTCAGCCATTAAAGCTCCAATAAGGTAGAACTTTAAAAAATAACTAACAGAAATTTACTTGAATCTTCTATCAGAATCATAGGGTTTTTTTATAATGAGCCGAGTCCGAACCCCAAACTTATCGCTCTTGGTATTCATAACCGTGAGAGGCACATCCACTGTTCCTATTAAGCTGACGCGATTTCGCGACCCACGCTCCACTTGCACAGTCTTCGGCCGCTGGAATTTAAGTGCCAGCCGGTAGGCCGCGCTACCTCCTTCTTCATCTCCTTCGAAATGATTTGAGATTCTGCGATTTGAAGCTGCGGATGAATATAATGAGGTACGATTTGGAAGGGGAAATTGGGAAATACGTCTGGCGATTAACGTTCCGATACGACGAATGATCATAAATACAACACGTGGAACTGATATGTGAGCCCCGGGGCTTTTACTTGCCGACGAGATACTTGAGAAGTGAAAATTCGGCCGAGGTTCAAAACAGAGGACTGGCGGGTTTTCCTTCTCTGAGAAGAGGGTTCTATTCTCTGTTTAGAAAACAAATCGGACCGGCCGGTTCAACCGGTTCAACCGGAAATCGTTGTTTAATCCGATTAAATCTAAATCGGTTGAACCGTTATTAGTGAACCGGCCATAACCACTGAACCGTTCGAATCGGACCGACTGAAAACCGGAAAAAATCGGGAAAAACCGGGATTTTTGTTTTTTTTTAAAAAAATTTAACCAAACAACGTCGTTTGTTAAACGAGCCAAGTCGAACTCGAGTATTGCTGAGCTCGACTCGAACTTGAAAACTTAAAAAGTAAGCTCAACTCAACTCAAACTCACAAGCTAAAAATTATCAAATTCAACTCAAACTCGAAATATAATATTAAAACTTGAACTAATAAAGGCTTGAACTCAAAAAAAATTAGAAGCTCGATTAAAGCCTGAAATTCGAGCTTGATTGAAGTGAAAGAATAGTTCACTCAATGCTCACCAAAAGGCTCCATAATTTTGAATGTCAAATTACCTCTATTATTTATAGAAGTTAGTTGTGATGCGCTTCTATGTTTCTTAGCAATGTGTGATTGTTTTGTTCTCATATTTTTACTCTTTAGACTTTTGGGATGCTCTTCTATGTTTCTTAGCCATGTGAGATTGTTTTTTAAAAAAATTAAACCAAACAATATCATTTTATTATGATTTTTTAACCTCAAATTTATTTTTTAATTATAGTTATATAATTATATTTATTATTTAATATGTTTTACCTTAAATATTATGTTGTAGTTAATTTGAATCATTTTGTTTCACTTGATTTTATGGTTTTTAACTTATATATGTTATGACTTGCTTTGAATATGACTTGTGATATAAAAAATTATTTTTTATTAAATATTTATGATATTTTTATTTAATTTTTTAAATAATTATGACGTCGTCCGGTTCTTCCGATCAGTTAAACCGATTCAACCGGTTAAACCAATAAACTGGTAATATGACTGATTCGCTAACTGATCTGGTTCTAAAAATCATGGTTCTATTCTATAGACAGATAAGATTATAAACCTCTCCAAAATAGTCACGTGACACGAAACAAGAGATGGGGTGTTTTCACCTAAATATTCACGTATTGGGCCAAAAACCCTATAGGTCACGTGATTGCATTTTGTAGTCTCATTAAAGTTTGGGTAAACTACATAAATGGTCATTAATGTTTAAATTTTTTTTCTGTAATGAAGTTTTAATAGTAACAAATTAGTCACTAGTGTTATAAATTTATAATAAATTGGTCGCTTGATGTTAACAACCATTAATGTGGGTGACATAAAGTTGCGTTAACCGCTTACTTAACCCATTGATCGTTTAACTGACTCGTTGATTGATTAGCTATTAGAAAAGAAGAAATATCTCTCCACAATCCATCCCAAAGTTAACCATTTCATGTTCACTCCAACACCATTTTAACAATATATATGTATGAAAAATTTGGGAATTTAAACTCTGAACTATTAAATTATATTTAAAAACTTTTAGAAGGTATGATGAAAAATTTACATTCAGTTATAAACATGTTGCATGGCCATTTCTCAGGTAAATCAATAGGCTTTACGCTTATTGGAAGAAGGCGCCACTTCATGCACTTATCACAAGAAATCCAATTTTCTTTAGTCAATACAGAAGCTGCAATTTAATATATATATGAGCTACAGTTCCAAGGTTAGCACCAACAGCATTCACATTACCAGAATTGGAAGCACCATCTACAGTCGCTTCAGAGTATGACTTCCTTATTAGTAAATCCTCAGTTTTTTATCACTTCATCTGTCATTATGTGTACTGTTAATGGCTAGTGTATTTTTTTTCTTCAATCTTATCATTTTCTTTCATTCAGTCTATAAAATGATTTTTTGATGTAATTGTTAGGTTCTCTTCCTGTTTTGATTCTATATCTCCAAAAAAAATTCTATAGCTGTCTTCAGCCTTTAGTAAAATTATTGCTAATTTTTGGTCTCCTGAATCCCTTTTGTTTGTATTATTGTTCACATGGGCAGTTTGCTTATTTTTCAGCATCACAGAAAAACCAACCCTCAAACTTTTTTTTGGTACCTCATCATCAGCTAAACTGCCTTGACCATGGCTGCCTTTTGATTTTACCAAAAGAGGCATGCTTCTTGGCAGGAGGCAACTTCATATTACCTTTGATCATGCTACGTTTTTTACTGCTCTTCTTCCTAAGAGGATCTACTGGTTCACTCTTTAGAGCTTTGCTACTTTTTCAAGTATTAGACTCAGATTTGACAAGATCACAAGTGTTATATGTTTTAATATACTCATATTTTCTCGCAAAGCCTGAATTATCATCAAGAATTTTTTGAGCTGAACTTGTAAGACATGCATCGAGCATAAACACAACGGAAAAGGATCTTTATAAATACATCTAGCCATTACCTACAGCTTATGTCAAAATCCAGGATTTGAATGCACCATCGTCAAATATATAGGACCACCGTCGACCACCGTGAACACCACAAATCACCGTCGAACACTTTAAATTTGGCTGCACAAAAACTAGAACTGCCAAAGATCTTCTAATCACTCAAAACCTCACGACATGAATAAGCTTCCAAATGCTCTCTAATAAAATACTTTTTGAAACGAATTGATTTGATGCTTAGACTTGACTAGCCTCATGTTTATAGTGTGGTTTGACCACCAAATAGTGTGGTTTGACCACCAAAAACCATATCCCACGTCCATAAAAGAAGGAAATCCAAAAGTGAAAAAGTAGAGAAGCTTGAGATATGAACCACTTTAATGATTAAAACTGCATACAGAACTAGCCCATAGATTCTCCAAGCCATTTTTTTGTGCAGGTATTGGCTCCACCGACTCCTCAGTAGCTATTACATCCTTATTTCTTGTCATGATATTATCTTTTACCTTGTAAACAGCAGAATGTTTTTCATTTTGTGTATATGAACCAGACATGTACAATCCACTGAAGCACTTATTATTTGCTTTGACTTCAAGAGACCTATTCTTTGTCATTGGATATTATCTATATTATCGTCCTGTCGATGAAGAGTGGTAGAGGGGAGCAGTCGATGGAGTTTAAAGAGGAGAGAGTGCCCATGGTGTTTCGGAGCTTGAGGATGACTTTAAGTAAGCAGTGATGATGGAAATAGTGGATTAAAACAAAACTGAACGAAATGAGATTGAGCTTTTATTTAAATTTGGGGAGGGGATTGGTCGATGGACCAAATAAACAGTTAGTGGTCCAACTCAGCTTTTTCGTCATCTACATTAATAAATATTGATACATATTGATTAATTTGTTATATTTAATTTATTATTTTTAAAATTTTAATAAGAAAAATAAAAAGTTACTCAAAAATTAATGACTACTTGTAGGTGCGTTTGGTTCACGGAATGTAAGATTACCAGTGGGAATAAAAGATTACCAGGGAATAGGATTACTGTGAATGTTGTATTTTGTGTTTGATTTGTTTAGCAGGAATGTAAGATTATCGTGTTTGGTTAAAGGAATAAAAGATTATTAGAATGTATATTTGATCAAATTGTCCTTATTATATATTTGTATAATATTACAAATTGTAAAATATTTATATCTTTCTTTAAAAAATTAAATTCATAATATTTATATATTTTTTTACAAAATTAAAAATATAAAAAAAGTTTAATAAAAGGGTAAAAAAAATTAACCCCTGAACTTCATATAAAATTTTAATTATAGACTTTTTTTGTAAATCTAAAATAATTTAAGGATAAATTTGTAATTTAACCTTCGTAGAATTTTTTATTATTCAATGACAGAATGATAGTTTTGAAAAAAAATAAAAATTTAAGGGCGTTTTAGTCCAAAACGCCGGTAATGTTACAATACCTAAGGGAAGAGAGATAATGACATCCCCAGTAATATACCCCAAAAAATGTACTATTGGTAATAAAATATTACCGGGAATGAGATTCCCGGCCAATCAAACATGAGAATGTGAGAATCCTTAAACCAAACACCCCTTAAAGTTTTAACGAAATCCGATTACAAGAATCTTTTTGATAATGTTTAACATCAACAAGAAGAGCACAATTCTTATACGGTTTGACTTACCGTAACTTACTTTGTCCGGAAAGTCGAGTGTTGGTCAAGATGAAATGGAGAGCCACCATAAATTACTAATTACCTCGTTTAGAGAGTCGAATGACGGTCGACGTAGAGTGGAGAGCCACATAGTATTTTGGTTTTGTAACACCTTTAGTTAGAATATATGTTGTAATACGAGTTAAAAATATCACATTAATTCAACTTATATTTGTTAAATCTAAATGTTTAAAAAATTTATTTCATTTAATAATTTCCTTTAAATTTCTTTCTTTAATCATATAAATTTATAAAATATAGTTTGATCATTGAAATTAATCCAATTTCAGTAAGCAATTACGCAATTCAATGTTGTTTTATATTCAAATACAACTGCCTAATATCGCTTGATTTTAAACCATTTAAAATATAACATTTATACTATTCACTCATAAATACGATTAATAACAAAATTAGACAAAACTAAAGAAAATAATTACTAATTACTATTACAAATCCTTTTAAAAAAAATCTGACAAAGTAACCCAACAAATATAACGTACATGCCACTAATAAGTCAAAGTTAGGATGTCTTACTAATACTGTCGGTAGGTTTTATTTTCCATAAGATGCTAGCAAACTCCTCACTTCACGTTCACTACTTTATTTGAACCATTGCATGGAAATCATCACGTGCTAAGTAAAACTTAATTAATCAGAAATATAACTAAAACATAAAATCCATAAAATATAAATAATAAACTGAAAATTTTAAATAAAAAATAATTAAAACTTCAAACCGGGCTAGTCAGGTCGTTTTCCTTCTAAAAACCTGAAAATCATCATCTCATAATTTTTATCAAAAATCATGTAAGTCATCATTAAATATTATAAATAACTTTTGTTCTT